TGCAAGTTTTCTGCTTCCCTAGAACCTCTAATGCATGAGGCAGGCTGCATTAAATGTCCTCCAGGGTTTCATTATTGCTGGATTTAGACTGAAAGTCATCCCTGAAACTCCTCGGCCAGGTACAAGGATGGATCATAAAAAACAAAACGTGCAAAACCCCTCGTGACGTCTGCACAGCTGTGTGCGATTTATAGGCTGTGCCCACACAGAAGCTCATTCGGCCTCCCCTGCCCTCTCTGGAGCCAGGTATATTGTTCCCGTTCTATTGATGAGGAAATCAAGCCTCAGAGAGGTTAAATGACTCGACTGAATTCCCCCTTCTGGGAACACCAAGGTGAGGGGTATGGACGCATTGCTGCTGTCCAGGGCTCTCGTGACCCAGAGATCTCGGGGAGGGTTTTACATTTGAGAAAGATGTCCAGGGTCCCTGTCTAGAGCCAGCAGAGCAAAGAAAATCCAGTGTGGGTTTCTGTCAATGGATACAAAAAACGTCTGAGAAAGGAAGGACAGAAGGAAGCAAGGGAGGACGAGGCGCTGGGTCTGAGTCGCCAAGCGTGACTTAGTGAGCAAAATGCAGCTGACGTTTCTAGGTCTGTAGGCCGGGTTTGATGTTGCCGGTTACATCGCTTCTAAACAATCTAGACCTTGACCTATCAGTGGGACTCTCAGCAGCCTGTCTGGGCTGCTTGTATGAAGTCGTCACCCCTCTCCACAGTGCAGCCTCCAGTTCACCTGTGGGCAGGTGGTCCTCAGTTCCAGGAGGCGGGTGACAGCCAGGAAACATCTGGTCCCAGGAAGGTGAGTGGGCCAGCCCCCGGTCAGAAGCAGCCTGCTCACCAGTAGTCTTCTGCTGCACTTAGAAAGCCATTCAAGACTGCGTGCCACTTCTTTAAAATATTTAGTGGGTTTTCAAATAGAAAAATGTTCTGTGTGGCTCTTCAAAGACTTTCTGACAATGTTCACTTCCTAAAAGTTAGCAAGGCCCATGCTCTTCTGGGCAAGAGATAACCCTGGAGCAATAATAAGGAAACGAACATTTTATTAAAAAATGAAGGGGGAGGGATTGGAAAGAGAGTTGTCTAGGGTGGGCCTTTGAGGGCTGGGCGAGGTTTAGGATATTGGAAGGCGTCAGATTCTGGGGAGGCCGTCGCCGGCAGTGAAATCTTGCCATTGTGTAGAGGGAAGTCTTGGAACCAAAGTGGTTCACAGACACGGGTCCAGTACGAGCTTCCCGGGCAGGACAGGTGGCCCTGAAATCCAGCCTGATGATCACATCACTCTTCACCTGATGGTGAATTAGGGACAGGAACTTCCTCCCTGTGCTGCTCCAAGTTCGTTTTAGAAGGTTTTTCTTATTTTTTTTGTTTGTTTTTTTGAGATCTTGCTCTGTCGCTCAGGCTGGAGTACAGTGGTGCCATCTTAGTTCACTGCAACCTCTGCCTCCTGGGTTCAAGTGATTCTCTGGCCTCAGCCTCCCGAGTAGCTGGGATTACAGGCATCGGCCACCACACCTGGTTAATTTTTGTATTTTTAGTAGAGACGGGGTTTCACCATGTTGGCCTTGAACTCCTGACCTCCAGTGATCTGCCCACCTCAGTCTCTCAAAGTACCGGGATTTCAGGCGTGAGCCACGGTGCCCAGCCAGAAGCATTTTGTATTTAAACAAGAAGTGGAAACACTTGAGCTGTTTAGCACCTGTAGCTACCTGACTTCCAGTAGCTGCCATTTTGAGTCGAAAACCTTGTGACGTGGCCATTTCAGTTGTAGAGCCACCTTCATTTCTGGCCTGCCTAGGAGCTCTGCATTTTCCTCTGATAGCCACATTCCTCCCTCACCAGCCACAGAACTTTTCAGAAAATCTGTGGCCACCTAAATCAAGAAACAGGAAGTGTTTTGGAGTACTTCCCAGGGAAACAGAGATGATGAAAAGCAGATTGGGGGAAGGGAGGGGCCCCACTTCAAAACATGAAGAACCAGAGCCACGGAGAGCAGTGTATCGATTAATCAGAGTGGCTGAAGGGCGGTGCAGGGTGCAGGACTGCTCTTTAATTTAAAGATCTATGATCTTGGAGGAAGGGACACTTCATTTGCGTTATTAGCTCCTGTGTCAGAAAGGGACGTTTATCTCTCTTCTTTTTTATTACTTATTTATTCTGTCTAATTCCCAAAAAGGGTGTGAGGAGTCGTCTAAATATGGCTTCTGGCCAGCTCTCCTGCGAGGCTGTCTGAGCTAAGGCGTGATGTTCCCCAGCTACATTCACTAATAAACTGAGGACAGAAGTGCTGCCCAGAGAAGCCAGGCGCTTCCTCTGTTCGCTGAGGGTGCGCAGAAGGGGAGGGCTCTGGTGTTGGCGTGGCCTCACAGGGAGAATCACGGCCACCCAGGGCCTCGGGAAGGCGTCCCTGCCCTATCCAAGCTGGGAGGTTTCCCCTCAGGGGCTCCTTCTTGGGGGAACTGAATTACCTGGAAGACTGAGAGAGGGAAATGACCCAGACATCCAGACATTAAAAAAAAAAAAAAAAAAGAGTTGGCCAAGATGGGCAGATCACAAGGTCAAGGTCAGGAGATCAAGACAATCCCGGCCAACATGGTGAAACCCTGTCTCTACTAAAAATACAAGAGACATGCCGGAGAAGGAAGAGAACCTCAGAGGTTCTCCTTGAGCAGTTTTTAAAAGAGAGATGAAGCCAAACTTCAGAATTCCTTGTTCATTTCTGTCCTCCCTATCACTGTCTTCTCATCACCAGCCACACAGACAGAATAGGAGAGGAGAGTGAAAGAATCCCTATGTAATGCCAAAATTGTAAAGCATGGCTCGGTTTCTAGTGTTAAGTGTCCTGGGCCAACTGGTTCTGAGGTCGTGGGGGAATCTCCACCCTGCCCCTCAGACAGAAGACACAGAAGGCACAAAGCCTTCTGTGACGTTGCAGGCCTGGGGTGTCTCAGGGAGGTCCTGGCCTCACAGACTCTGGCCCCCCCAGTTTCAGACAGAGGCAAGGGCCACATTCAAGACTGAAGCCCCTGGAAGGAATTCAGGGTACTTGGTCCTCAAGTCACTTGGTTTTTAAAAGATGGTTTCCAAATGAAGGTTTATGTGCCTATAAACACTGCTAAGTGTGCAGCCTTCCAGAAACATAATTAGTGGGTGGAAGACAAAAACGCTGTCTGCCTAGGATTTCCGAAGTCCTGTCATGGATTGGTGGAGAGGCTTAGATGGGGAGTGTTTTCTCCACTTCCCACCGCACCTTACCAATATTGGGTATGGTCATTCATGCACGTTTGGCTTCACCAGAGACTGTGGCTCCTGTGCTTCAGCATCTGCGTTCAAATCTTCCAGGTGGAAGAAAATTTGAAAAAGCAAAAGGGGTCTTTCAAGATCTCGTATGCCATGTCTTCTGCTGGGTTTGAGCTGGGATTCCTGTTCCGCTTGCTTCCCCAGCTAGTGAGTGCGCGAGAGAAGCCAGCCATGTCTGCACCATCTCTTTTATGCAGAGCATTAGGAGAGGTACCTGCTGGAAGTGCAGCAAGCTTCACCCACAGGTGCGGGAGGACGCCCGCAGGACGGGTTCTGGAGGAAATGTGCAGTCTCCATTTTGTGACTGTCTCAGTGACAGACAAAGACCGTGAGGTTTTGACTCTGTGCCACTAGTGTCCGCTACAATTTGCTGCCCGTGTCACCAGAGCCAGTTGCCGACACGTCGGCATTTGCCACTCTTCATCCCGACTGCCCTGTCAGATGTGACAATGTTCTTTCATTACTTGGTATTCCGGCAGAGGACTCTGAAATACTCATTTAGGCCAGTGTGCCCTGCCCTCCCTGGGGGTCTGGAGGTGGAATTCCAAGTGGTGTTTGGGTGTGTGTGGGAGAACATGAGGTGGGGGCAGCTGTCACAGTAGTAGCGGGTCTTCACAGCAGGTTAAACTTCTTCTGTTCCTATGAATCCATGTTCAGTTGTACAGTGCTTTCTGCACAGACGGTGGTGTGGGAAACACGAGAATCTCCTATAGCTAAAAATCCCAAATGTTGCTGAGATATTGCAACTATTTCTCTTAAAAAAAAAAAAAAAAAAAAAGTTGGCCAAGGAGGGCAGATCACAAGGTCAGAAGATGGAAAACATACTGGCTAACATGGTGAAACCCCGTCTCTACTAAAAATACAAAAATTAGCCAGTCATGGTGCTGCCTGCCTGTAGTCCCAGCTACTTAGGAGGCTGAGGCAGAGGCTGCAGTGAGCTGAGATTGCACCACTGAACTCCAGCCTGGGGGACAGAGGGAGACTCTGATTAAAAAAAAAAAAAAGTTTTCAGGATAGTACAGTTTGATTTGTGTTTTTGTACAACTTTCTGGAATCAAATATTATCAGAATCGGTTCTCAAAGGGGGTGGGGCGGTGATCTTGCCCCCCTCCCTGGGAAGATTTGGCAAGATCTGCAGGCATTTGGTCCTCACGACTGCGGGAGGTGGGTGCAGGCAGAGGACACTGCTAAACATCTTGCAATGCGCACCACAGTCCCCACCGCTCAAAGAACTAGGATGTAAATGTCAGTGGTGCCTTGACTGAGAAACCCTGGTCTAGGTGGTTTCGGGTGCGGGGCGGGCTGGAGGGTTGGGATTTACCGGGACCTTTACACAGTCCAACCTTGACAGAATTCCTGCTACTGGATCATATTCTCACAAACACGATCTCCGAGGCCTCGGAGGTAATGGAGATAAGAACCCCTTTCCTTTGGGGGAGCAAGGCGGGCCTTACAGAATTGAAATAACTGGCGGACGTCCAGGTGCGAGGGCCGCCTGCCCACAGACCCTGCCTCTTCGGCACCCCAGCCGGGTGGAGACAAGGCCGGGTCTGCTTGCAAGCGGCCCTGCGGCCCCTGTCAGGCAGGGCACGGGGATCCAGGATCTGGCCCATCCGCATACTCCTGGCCGGTGGCCCCGCGGTGCCCACGCCGCGCTACCGCTTCTCACGCTGTCTCTGCCTTTCTGTCCATGTGTCTCCCCAGGTAAAGATGAGCCTTCCAGCTACATTTGCACAACATGCAAGCAGCCCTTCAACAGCGCGTGGTTCCTGCTGCAGCACGCGCAGAACACGCACGGCTTCCGCATCTACCTGGAGCCCGGGCCGGCCAGCAGCTCGCTCACGCCGCGGCTCACCATCCCGCCGCCGCTCGGGCCAGAGGCCGTGGCGCAGTCCCCGCTCATGAATTTCCTGGGCGACAGCAACCCCTTCAACCTGCTGCGCATGACGGGCCCGATCCTGCGGGACCACCCGGGCTTCGGCGAGGGCCGCCTGCCGGGAACGCCGCCGCTCTTCAGCCCCCCGCCGCGCCACCACCTGGACCCGCACCGCCTCAGTGCCGAGGAGATGGGGCTCGTCGCCCAGCACCCCAGTGCCTTCGACCGAGTCATGCGCCTGAACCCCATGGCCATCGACTCGCCTGCCATGGACTTCTCGCGGCGGCTCCGCGAGCTGGCGGGCAACAGCTCCACGCCGCCGCCCGTGTCCCCGGGCCGCGGCAACCCTATGCACCGGCTCCTGAACCCCTTCCAGCCCAGCCCCAAGTCCCCGTTCCTGAGCACGCCGCCGCTGCCGCCCATGCCCCCCGGCGGCACGCCGCCCCCGCAGCCGCCGGCCAAGAGCAAGTCGTGCGAGTTCTGCGGGAAGACCTTCAAGTTCCAGAGCAATCTCATCGTGCACCGGCGCAGCCACACGGGCGAGAAGCCCTACAAGTGCCAGCTGTGCGACCACGCGTGCTCGCAGGCCAGCAAGCTCAAGCGCCACATGAAGACGCACATGCACAAGGCCGGTTCGCTGGCCGGCCGCTCCGACGACGGGCTCTCGGCCGCCAGCTCCCCCGAGCCCGGCACCAGCGAGCTGGCGGGCGAGGGCCTCAAGGCCGCCGACGGCGACTTCCGCCACCACGAGAGCGACCCGTCGCTGGGCCACGAGCCGGAGGAGGAGGACGAGGAGGAGGAAGAGGAGGAGGAGGAGCTGCTGCTGGAGAACGAGAGCCGGCCCGAGTCGAGCTTCAGCATGGACTCGGAGCTGAGCCGCAACCGCGAGAACGGCGGCGGCGGGGTGGCCGGGGTGCCGGGCGCGGGGGGCGGCGCGGCCAAGGCGCTGGCGGATGAGAAGGCGCTGGTGCTGGGCAAGGTCATGGAGAACGTGGGCCTGGGCGCGCTGCCGCAGTACGGCGAGCTCCTGGCGGACAAGCAGAAGCGCGGCGCCTTCCTGAAGCGCGCGGCGGGCGGCGGGGACGCGGGCGACGACGACGACGCGGGCGGCTGCGGGGACGCGGGCGCGGGCGGCGCGGTCAACGGGCGCGGGGGCGGCTTCGCGCCGGGCGCCGAGCCCTTCCCCGGGCTCTTCCCGCGCAAGCCCGCGCCTCTGCCCAGCCCCGGGCTCAACAGCGCCGCCAAGCGCATCAAGGTGGAGAAGGACCTGGAGCTGCCGCCCGCCGCGCTCATCCCGTCCGAGAACGTGTACTCGCAGTGGCTGGTGGGCTACGCCGCGTCGCGGCACTTCATGAAGGACCCCTTCCTGGGCTTCACGGACGCGCGCCAGTCGCCCTTCGCCACGTCGTCCGAGCACTCGTCCGAGAACGGCAGCCTGCGCTTCTCCACGCCGCCCGGGGACCTGCTGGACGGCGGCCTCTCGGGCCGCAGCGGCACGGCCAGCGGAGGCAGCACTCCGCACCTGGGCGGGCCCGGGCCCGGGCGGCCCAGCTCCAAGGAGGGCCGCCGCAGCGACACGTGCGAGTACTGCGGCAAGGTGTTCAAGAACTGCAGCAACCTGACGGTGCACCGGCGGAGCCACACCGGCGAGCGGCCTTACAAGTGCGAGCTGTGCAACTACGCGTGTGCGCAGAGCAGCAAGCTCACGCGCCACATGAAGACGCACGGGCAGATCGGCAAGGAGGTGTACCGCTGCGACATCTGCCAGATGCCCTTCAGCGTCTACAGCACCCTGGAGAAACACATGAAAAAGTGGCACGGCGAGCACTTGCTGACTAACGACGTCAAAATCGAGCAGGCCGAGAGGAGCTAAGCGCGCGGGGCCCCGGCCGCCGCGCACCTGTACAGTGGAACCGTTGCCAACCGAGAGAATGCTGACCTGACTTGCCTCCTTGTCACCGCCACCCCGCACCCCGCGTGTCCCCGGGGCCCGGGGGAGGCGGCACTCCAACCTAACCTGTGTCTGCGAAGTCCTATGGAAACCCGAGGGTTGATTAAGGCAGTACAAATTGTGGAGCCTTTTAACTGTGCAATAATTTCTGTATTTATTGGGTTTTGTAATTTTTTTGGCATGTGCAGGTACTTTTTATTATTATTCTTTCTGTTTGACTTCCTTTGAGAGATTTTTTTGGGTGTCCATCCCTTCTTCTTCTTCTTCTTCTTTTTTAAACCCGGTAGTAGCCTGAGCAATGACTCACAAGCAACGTTAGAGGGGAAGCATATCTTTTAAATTATAATTTGGGGGGAGGGGTGGTGCTGCTTTTTTGAAATTTAAGCTAAGCATGTGTAATTTCTTGTGAAGAAGCCAACATTCAAATGACTTTTAAAGTTGTTTACCTTTTTATTCCTTCCTCTTTTTTTTGTCCTGAAATAAAAAGTGGCATGCAGTTTTGTTTTGTTTTGTTTAATTTTTTTTGTTGATTTTTTGTTTTTGGGGTGGGGGGGTGTGGATGTACAGCGGATAACAATCTTTAAAGTCGTAGCACTTTGTTTCAGAATTGGAATGGAGATGTAGCACTCATGATGTCCCAAGTAAAGCGGCCTTTTCTGCGTTGATTTCAGCTTTCATAGTACATAAGGGAAACCTTCCGTGGTGGTGCTGGGGGAGGCACCCCACAGACTCAGCACCACCAGAAATAGGGTTTTGGAGGGCTCCTCTGGGAAATGGCCTGACAGCATTCTGAGTTTGTGCATGACCCTTTCTTGGAGTGCTGGTGTGCCCTGGGGTGCCATGGCTGCTATTCGCTGTAGATTAGGCTAAATAAAACGGGCTGAGGGTACCTTTTTGGGGAGATGGGGTGGCCTGCAGTGACACAGAAAGGAAGAAACCAGTGGTGTTCTTTTAGGCTTTTTTCTGGCTTGATGGCTTCTCTGTCTCTCTTTTTAAAATCACCCCACCACATAAATCTCAAATCCTGTATGGCAGCAAGTGGTCGTTGATCATTTCCCAAGCAGACGAATGCCCTAATGAATTGAAGTTAGTGTTCTCTCATTTAATGCACACTGATGATACTGTAGGGATGGGTGGGGTGGGGATCTTGCAAATTTCTATTCCCTTTTACTGAAAAAGCCGGGGAGGAGTTCCATGAGAAGGTGCCCAGCGCTACTGCCCAGGTTGTTTTGTTTCGTTTTGTTGTCTATCTCATTAGGTTGGAAGGTACTAAACATTGAACTGTTCAGATTAGACATTTGAATTCCGTTGACCCGCACTTTAAAGCTTTTGTTTGCATTTAAATTAAATGGCTTCTAAACAAGAAATTGCAGCATATTCTTCTCTTTGGCCCAGAGGTGGGTTAAACTGTAAGGGACAGCTGAGATTGAGTGTCAGTATTGCTAAGCGTGGCATTCACAATGCTGGCACTATAAAGAACAAAATAAAATAAGAATTCCTAGGACAGTTTTTCTGCTGCCATTCAATTTGATGTGAGTGCCTTGAAAACTGATCTTCCTATTTGAGTCTCTTGAGACAAATGCAAAACTTTTTTTTTGAAATGAAAAGACTTTTTAAAAAAGTAAAACAAGAAAAGTAGGTTCTTTAGAAACTAACAAAGCCACATTTACTTTAAGTAAAAAAAAAAAAAAAATTCTGGTTGAAGATAGAGGATATGAAATGCCATAAGACCCAATCAAATGAAGAAATAAACCCAGCACAACCTTGGACATCCATGAGCTGAATTCTCCTCAGCCCCTTTTGTTTTTGGGACAACGCTGCTTAGATATGGAGTGGAGGTGATTTACTGCTGGATTAAAACTCAAGTGACACATGTTACAAGTTGATATCGTTGAAAGAAAAGCAAAACAAAAACAATTCAGGAACAACGGCTAATTTTTTCTAAAGTTAAATTTAGTGCACTCTGTCTTAAAAATACGTTTACAGTATTGGGTACATACAAGGGTAAAAAAAATTGTGTGTATGTGTGTTGGAGCGATCATTTTTCTTTCAAAGTTTGCTTAATAGGTTATACAAAAATGCCGCAGTGGCCGCGTGTATATTGTTTTCTTTTGGTGACGGGGTTTTAGTATATATTATATATATTAAAATTTCTTGATTACTGTACAAGTGGACCAGTATTTGTAATAATCGAGAATGCCTGGGCATTTTACAAAACAAGAAAAAAAAGTACCTTTTCCTTTCCTTGAAAATGTTGCAGTAAAATTTAAATGGTGGGTCTATAAATTTGTTCTTGTCACAGTAACTGTAAAGTCGGAGTTTTAGTAAATTTTTTTCTGCCTTGGGTGTTGAATTTTTATTTAAAAAAATGTATAGAAACTTGTATTTGGGGATTCAAAGGGGATTGCTACACCATGTAGAAAAAGTATGTAGAAAAAAAGTGCTTAATATTGTTATTGCTTTGCGGAAAAAAAAAATCACATTTCTGACCTGTACTTATTTTTCTCTTCCCGCCTCTCTCTGGAATGGATATATTGGTTGGTTCATATGATGTAGGCACTTGCTGTATTTTTACTGGAGCTCGTAATTTTTTAACTGTAAGCTTGTCCTTTTAAAGGGATTTAATGTACCTTTTTGTTAGTGAATTTGGAAATAAAAAGAAAAAAGAACAAAAACAAACAGGCTGCCATAATATATTTTTAGTTTGGCAGGATAAAATATTGCAAAAAACACATTTGTATGTTAAGTCCTATTGTACAGGAGGAAAAGGGTTGTTTGACAACCTTTGAGAAAAAGAAACAGAAGGAAGTAGTTAAATGCTTTGGTTCACAGATCATTAGTTGTATATATTTTTTGTCGGAGGTGGCCTACACAGAGAACCGTTCGTGTTGGGCTTCTCTCTGAATGCCCCGAACCTTGCATCAAGGCTCCTTGGTGTGGCCACAGCAGACCGGATGGGAAATTCTTTATTTGTGTTGAGTGGAAAAAAATCAGTTTTTGTAAAGATGTCAGTAACATTCCACATCGTCCTCCCTTTCTCTAAGAGGCCACCTGTAAGAGGAAAGATGTGGAGGAGAGAGAGCGAGAGAACATCTTCCTCTGCCATCACTTCCGTGGCGGTCACCGCCACCACGTCTCCCGCCCTTACCGGCAGAAAGCAACGCCCACTGTGCTTCTTCAGTACTTGAGAAATTGTGAAACAAACGCAAATGTCATAGAAGGAGCTGGTGATTCAGCTGGGTCCAGGTGAAGTGACCTGCTGTAGAGACCGGCACAAATTGGATTTCAGGAAGGAGACCCCATCGCAGCCAGGACCTTCCGTGCCATGGAGAGTGCTGGCCTCTTGTCTTTCTTCCCTGCTTTGCTGCTTTGCTCTCTGAAACCTACATTCCGTCAGTTTCCGAATGCCAGGGCCTGGGATGAATTCGGTGCCTTTCCATATCTTGTTCTCTCTCCTTCCCCTGCGTTTCCTCTCCATCCTTCATCCTCCATTGGTCTTTTACTCACTTTAGAAACATTTTTATTTATTTATTTTTCTTTCTTCCTATCTGTCCCTCTCCTAACCCTCCCTTTGAATTTTTTTTTTTTTTTTTTGTAAAGCCAAGTAGCTTTAAGATAAAGTGGTGGTCTTTTGGATGAGGGAATAATGCATTTTTAAATAAAATACCTATATCAGGAAGCCATTTTTTATTTCAGGAAATGTAAGAAACCATTATTTCAGGTTATCAAAGTATAACCAAGCATCCTTTAGGGCAATTCCTTACCAAATACAGAAGCTTTTCTGTTTGATGCACTCTTTCCTCCTTGCCATTTACCTTTGCAAAGTTAAAGAAAAGGGGAGGGAATGGGAGAGAAAGCTGAGATTTCAGCTTCCTACTGCAGTTTCCTACCTGCAGTTTGGGGGCTGCTGTTGCCTTTGGATGCCCCGTTGAGGTCCTGGAGCGCCTCCAGGGCGGTCCTCCTGTAGTCAAACAGCCAGTGCTCACCAGCTTACCAGAATGCCAGGACTAAGCCATCCCAAAGCACAAGCATTGTGTGTCTCTGTTGACTGCAGAGAAGAGAGAATCTTGCTTCTGTTTCATGTTTAAAAAACCAACACGGAAGCAGGTGATCCAGAGAGAGAGGCCTCTAGCGTGGGTGACCCAGCCGACCTCAGGCCGGTTTCCACACTGCCACAACTTTGTTCAAAGTTGCCCCCAATCGGAACCCGCCACTTGCCATTAGAGGGTCTTTCATGGGGAGAGGAGGAGACTGAATTACTCTAAGGAAAATGTGAGAAGTAAGGAAATCAGCCTTTCATCCCGGTCCTAAGTAACCGTCAGCCGAAGGTCTTGTGGAACACAGGCAAACTCGTGATTTTGGTGCTCCTTGTAACTCAGCCCTGCAAAGCAAAGTCCCATTGATTTAAGTTGTTTGCATTTGTACTGGCAAGGCGAAATATTTTTATTACCTTTTCTATTACTTATTGTATGAGCTTTTGTTGTTTACTTGGAGGTTTTGTCTTTTACTACAAGTTTGGAACTATTTATTATTGCTTGGTATTTGTGCTCTGTTTAAGAGACAGGCACTTTTTTTTATTATGGATAAAATGTTGAGATGACAGGAGGTCATTTCAATATGGCTTAGTAAAATATTTATTGTTCCTTTATTCTCTGTACAAGATTTTGGGCCTCTTTTTTTCCTTAATGTCACAATGTTGAGTTCAGCATGTGTCTGCCATTTCATTTGTACGCTTGTTCAAAACCAAGTTTGTTCTGGTTTCAAGTTATAAAAATAAATTGGACATTTAAGTTGATCTCCAAACTTTGTCCTTTTCTGTGTCTGTGAAAGGTGGGGGACGGACAGCTTATTCCAAGGGCGAATTGAAGGTCTTTCTCCATTTTCTTCCTGACCCAAATCTTTAAGCCCATAGACAGGATGACGGGAAATCACGGCACGAGAGATCTACAGTTCTCTTAACCCCTGCGCAGCAGTATGATCAGGAGCAGTGGTTCTTGGCTCAGTTGGGAGCTTTTGAAAATCTCAGGGTCCAGGAGACATCCCAGACCAATTCTTTTAGAATCTCTGGAGGCGGGTCCCAGTATCAGCATTTTTGAAAATTTTCCATGGATCGTGGAAAATGATCCACGTGATTCTCCAATCCAACTGAGCTTGTGAACAAGTAGTTGGAAAGAAAAAGCACTTGGCTAGGAATGATTAGATTCAAATGGAGCCTAATTCAGTTCCCATTTCCTCAATACCTAGAGAGAGTTGCTGTGAGCCCCGGAGGGATGAAAATCCTGGGAGAAGGAGACCCTGCCCCAAGGCGCTAAACGACTCTGTGCCCTTGGGCAGGTCCCCTTGATTTTCCCATTTGTGAAATGAGGTTGATGAACTTTGTGAAAACTCATCCATGAGGATTGACAAAATCACACCAGAACACTTCCTTCTTCCCCATGTGCTGGCTGTTAACAGATTTGAGGAAAGTTTCACTGGGGATGATCAGTCAGACCTTGAGGATTGAAGGAGCTTACTCAGCATTTCCCAGTGCTGGGCCTGGAGCAGCCAACAAGATGGGGTAGAAGGAGGCAGCGCTGTGTCCCAGTCACACTGAGGCACGAAGCCATTTCTGGTTTTCTCCATCTGAGCAAGAGAGAGGCAGAGCTCACCCCTGAGCATGAGGGAACCAGGGCCCAGTGGGTTTTTGACCATTCGTTTTCTCTGCCTTCTGTTCTTAAAGGGTCAAAGGACAATCTGCTCACACCACTTCTGCAGACTGTCACTGGCCACTGACGTGAACCAGGTACCAAGAATTCAGACTGCCCAAGAATCTTCACAGAGAGACTTTACAAGAATGAGAACACCAAGCTATGCTAGCCAAGGTGATTTGTGGGCTCTGTTCACAGAAATGACAACAAAAACAAGGGCAGCATGTCCCTCTATGTCCTGTCTTCACGCCACACAGGACATTGTTTTCTCCCGAGGCCACTGCACAAGCAGTGGGGTTTGAACTCCAGCACCAGAAACAGAGCTGCTGGTCATTCAGGACACTCACCTTGCTTTCTTGGGGCTTGAGGAATAAGAATTCCCAGAGAGAAAATTCCCTTTTCCATGGGTCCTGGGCCCCAAGTCTTCCCCAGTGGGCTTTAAAACAGATATTTGAGGCTTTTCTTTCTTTTTTTTGTTTTTTGAGACAGGGTCTTGCTCTGTTGCCCAGGCTGGAGTACAGTGGTACTTGTTCAAGTAAACATTTCTGCAGCGTCACAGACCCGACTGGGAAAACGGGTTTCAGTACAACTCCCTGCTGCCTTCCCAGAGTTTGCTCTTCAGTGGGCAGAATGGGACATCCATCTACCTGCTCAGCCATTCATTCTCTTAACTCTCCTGGAGTTCCTACAGCGTGCCCCACCCTCCTAGGCCAGGGGCTGCAGTACCTGCCCTGGAAGAACTCCTGGTTAGCTGGGGAGGCAGTGAACAGACAATCAATGCTCAGTCTGTTGGGCAGGAGCATAGGGTCTACCAGGAGGCTGGAGGAAATGTTCATGCCCTTCATTACAGAGGAAAACCAGCACTCGTCCCATTGTGCCTGGCCACAGCCCACACTGTCACCCTTTACTGTGGTTTATTGCTCATCAATCATAATGAAAATGGAATTGTGTTTCTGTGATTTTTTTATAATTAAAAATTTTTACAATATGTAATGCCCAGTTTAGGATGCATCCCAGGCTGTGAGTCCAGGGGTACTGTCTAGGGGACGTGGGTGGTTCCCCACCTGTCCAAGTCTCAAAACAAGAAAGCGATGCTGAGGCATTCGCTCACGGGCCAGGTCCCATAAGGACTTTATTTTTTTTTGGCTGAAAATGCACCGTAGGCTGCAGTTTGTAAGGGCTAGGCCGGCCTCCCAGCAAAACAAGGAGCTACCGAGGATAGGGAGAGTGCCTCTGTCTCTTTTCCTAGTCCGACTCCTTTCCATCAGCAAGATCTTACTAAGCACCTGCTCCTTGTCCTATGGTGCAGTGGGGAAGCAACTGTGCAGCGCCGAGGGGTTGGTAAACGAAAGAGAAAAATGAAGGGGCAGATCGCAGGTAACACCTGAGACCCCTGACTACCTTTGGCACTTGGCAAGACCCAGCCCTCTTGCCTGCATTTGGAGACATAATTGAGGGTTTGGTTTTGTTACCTGTATCATGTTTCAACCACATTTCCCTCTTCCCTTTGCAAAGCTCTGGGGTGGTGTGTATCAAGAACCCAAACGATCTTCTGACTATTTGATCTGGTGATGTCGTTCTTGGAAACATACTAAGAATACTAATTAGTGATTCCTAGAGAGAGGAAAAGCTCTGCGCCTATAGATGGCCATTTCAGCATCTCGTTAAATACTCTGTGAATAGCTTGCAACCTTCCTCATTCCTCAAGATTGTGAGCAGGCCGATAGGAAATGTGACAAAGCATAGATAAGCAGCAAAACATCAGAACCAGAGAGATGAAAAGCTCTAGTAAGAGGTCTACACCTATGTAAAAATACTGCCTAGAGAAGAAGGCCATACGCTGCTATACTTAAATCATAAACTTGAGTTTAAACTTCTTTTTAGCCAAAGGGAAAAAAAGAAATGTAGACACACTGCTTATGATTCATGCAGACCAAGTATGTCAGGGAGTGACACGCATGATAGCAAAATTTTGGAAGCTGCCTCCTGTTCAACAGTAAAGGAGTGAATGGGTGAAGAAGAGCTCCTTCGTTACGGAGTATTCCACACACCGACAATGCGGGGGTCGAAGACAATGCGGGGGTCGACAATGCTTCTGTGTTGAAGCAACAGAACTATGTATGAGATAATGTTAACTTTTAAAACAAGAGCAAATGTTCATCTGCTATGAGTCTAAGTGATCTAGCTAAAGGTATGTGTGGACATGATGTGCATCAGATGCAGATGCTTGGGAGGAAAGGCTCTTTGGGAAGGTATTTCTCCTACCTTGTCCAAATTTTCAGGAAGTTAGTCCTGTAGCCTTTGCAACTGAAAATATTCAAATGAATGTGTGCTGGACACACTCCCACAGATGTCTCACCAGGATCTTCCGTCTCTGGGAGCCATTTGCTTGGCTAATGATGACTTTCTGAGGACCATAAAGGTCTGCACGCATCACCCCTGGATGATGTGGAAAAGCTTTGCTCTCTGCACGACCAACACTAAGCACAACACAAGCCATCTTTTTTTTTTTTTAATTAATCTCTAAAATAATTCCTTTTCTAGAAAATCATCCTAAGGAAGCTATGATACAGCCAAAGATTTAGCTCCAAAGATGTTCACTGTGTCTATATTTACGATAGCAAAAACTGGAAATAAAGAAAATGCCCAGTAACTTGGGATTAGATAAGCAAGGGATAGGATGTCAATGCAATGGAGCATTAGGCAGTTATCAAAAATACTGCTGTCAGAATAACATACACGGCATTGGAGAGGTGTTCATGATGGACACATTAGGGGGTTAGTTATCTCCCGGTGATCTGACGAAGATGCAATGAATCAAACAGAAGTGTGGGCAGGAAATGCAGGGGAGGGATGATGGTGGCTGTTTGTGGATTACATCGTAGTAGGACCCCTCAGGCTGCATGAAGAGGGACTGTCATGCTGGGAGGGAAAGTAGGGGTTGTCCACAGAAAGAAGATGGTGGCTTGGACTTAAATCGAAAAAGGTAAGTAGGAGGTGGTAAGAATATCTCTGATCCAGTATCTATTGTGGGTGCAAAGAAGAGCTGACAGGATTTGCTGATGGATTAAGTACGGATATGAAGGGCAGAGAGGCATCAGGGGTGATCATAAGTTTTTCGGCTGAGCAAGAGGATGAATGGCAGTTTACCAACCTGGTGGAAGACTAGAGATGTGTGAGCAGGTGGGAAAGGGGAAAGGGAAGCAAGAGTTCTCGCTGGCACAGGAGTCTAGAGACAACTAGCTAAATGCGAACAATGCCTGTCTCACCAGGTCATTGAGACAATTCAGAAATTAAGACCAGGCCAGGCACGGTGGCTCCATCTGGTAATCCCAGCACTTTGGGAGGCTGAAGAAAGTGGAATTCTTAAGGTTAGGAGTTCAAGACCAGCCTGGCCAACATGGTTAAACCCCATCTTTACTAAAAATACAGTAAAATTTAGCAGGATGTGGTGGTGGGCACCTGTAAACTCAGCTACTTGGGAGGCTGAGGCAGGAGAATCGCTTGAACCTGGGAAGCAGAGGTTGCAGTGAGCCGAGATCACCCCACTGCACTCCAGCCTCGGAGGCAGAGCAAGGCTTTGTCTCAAAATACATACATACATACATACGTACATACATACATACATACATACATACATACATACGGGACTGCAAAGCAACAGCGCAGTGTAGTCACTAATAGGCATGCTGGGTGTAGACTGCCTGGGGTTTTTACTTGGCTCTGCCACTTACAAGCTGAGGGATCTTGGTCCAATCATGTAACCTGGTCTTGCCTCAGTTTCCTCATCAGTAAAAAATGGGGCAATAATTACACCTTCCTTATAGGGATATGATGAGGATTCAGTTAATTACTATTTGTAGATGTGCCTGAGTATGCCGTGAACCAAACACCTGGAAATTCTGGACACCTGTACCTTTCCCCTTTCTTACGAAGAACCAGGGCTCAGGTTCTCACCAGGGTTTGCCCATGTTTATCAGTAAAGACAGCCTGTGGGACTATGCGGTTCTTTCTGAATTTCAAGTTCTAACCCTTATTTCTAGGTAGGGTATCACAAGGCTGCACTGGAGGGGTGTGTTAGCCTTGCTCCTCTCACATTCACATTCAGAACAAGGT